CCAGGTGCCCAGCAGGGGAAAGTGCAGACCCCAGCCTAGCCACAGAGGGCTGTGACCAGGGCAAGGCGCCTTCACCTCTGCAGCTGGGCCTGGAGGAATCGGGGGCTCCTCCCCCACCACTGGTGAGCTGGGCTGGGTGGAGTGAAAAAGACAGGTGTGGCAGCAGAACAGGGAGGAGAGGCATCAGCCAAACTGGCTATGGGGCCCAGGGCTGGGATAGCAGGGGCTGCGGGTTGGGAGTGAGGGGCGCTGGCAGAGCTGGGGGGAGCCCAGGGCTGGGATAGCAGGGGGCTGCGGGTCAGGAGTCAGGGGCGCTGGCAGAGCTGGGGGGGGGGGGGGCCCAGGGCTGGGATAGCAGGGGTGGGGTCGGGAGTGAGGGGCGCTGGCAGAGCTGGGGGAGCCAGGGCTGGGATAGCAGGGGCTGGGGTCAGGAGTCAGGGGCTGGCAGAGCTGGGGGGCGGGGGCCCAGGGCTGGGATAGCAGGGGGCTGAGGGTCAGGAGTGAGGGGCGCCGGCAGAGCTGGGGGGGCCCAGGGCTGGCATAGCAGGGGGCTGCGGGTCAGGAGTGAGGGGCGCTGGCAGAGCTGGGGGGGGGCCAGGGCTGGGATAGCAGGGGCTGCGGGTTGGGAGTGAGGGGCGCTGGCAGAGCTGGGGGAGCCCAGGGCTGGGATGCAGGGGGCTGGGGTCAGGAGTCAGGGGCGCTGGCAGAGCTGGGGGGGGGGGCGGGGGCCCAGGGCTGGGATAGCAGGGGGCTGAGGGTCAGGAGTGAGGGGCGCCGGCAGAGCTGGGGGGGCCCAGGGCTGGCATAGCAGGGGGCTGCGGGTCAGGAGTGAGGGGCGCTGGCAGAGCTGGGGGGGGGCCAGGGCTGGGATAGCAGGGGGCTGTGGGTCGGGAGTGAGGGGCACCATCAGCGCGGTGGGGAGGAAGCTCCCGTGACCCCTGCCCGGCTCGGCTCCTCGCTGCCAAGCCTGGGTGTGGCCGGCAGGGGCCCCTCCCAGCCTGTGCTGGGTTGGGTTTGGGGGCCGGAGTGAGTCTCTGGGGGCCAGAGATTGGCTCTGGGACGGGCACCTGAGCCAGGGCTGGGGGGCTCCATGCCCAGGGCGCGTAACCCCGCCTGGCACGCAGCATTAGGGGCCTGTCCTGCTGCTCTGGCCCCCCCGTGGGATGAGCTGGCCCAGGCAGACTCAGGGCCCTGCCGCCCCATGTGCTGGGCCGGCTCCTCTGCCCCATTGCACAGCAGCGGCTGCAGCCTCCGCAGGAGGGGGGTGGGCAGAGGAGCTGGTGCCATGGCAACCAAGGGAGATTTCCAGGCAAGCCCCAATTGGGAGGCCCCTCCGAAAGGAGCAGGAGACGGAAGGGGGGGCCTCTGAGTGCAGACCCCCCCACCCCTGCACGACCCCCATGGACCCTAGGGAACAGCAGAGCCCAGATTCAACCCCTCCGCAACAGGCTGGAGCTGGGGGGGCCGGGGGGAGAGGGCAGAGAAGGGGGAGGTGGGTACCCGGGGGGGGGGGGGGGGGGGGGGGGGGGGGGGGGGGGGTGTGGGGGGGGGGGGGGGGGGGGGGGGGGGGGGGGGGGGGGGGGGGGGGGGGGGGAGAGAGGGGGGGGGAGGGGGCGGGGGGAAGAGGGCAGAGAAGGGGGAGGTGGGTACCCGGGGGGGGGAGAGGGCAGAGAAGGGAAAGGTGGCCGAGACAGGGAAAGGACAAGAGGAGCTCTGCATTCCCGCCCACCCGTGTCTCTCCTGCCCCTTCGCAGGCCTGTGTCACCCCCAAATACAGCAGCTTCCCCTGCCTGCCACGTGGCACTTCGCTTGCCGCAGCCCCCCTTGCTGCCCTCCAGGGCCAAGCCCCCTTGCCAGTGTCCCGGGTGCTACCAACCTCAATCAAAAGCCCCACCCTGGCAGCAGAGGGGCTGAGTGCACCCGGGGGCAGACACAGATGTGGGGAAAGCAGGGCAGGGAGGGGGCAGATAGCTTAGGGGGTTGAGCATTGGCGTGCTAAACCCAGGGTTGTGAGTTCAATCCTTGAGGGGGCCATTTAGGGATCTGGGGCAAACACTGGGGACTGGTCCTGCTCTGAGCAGGGGGTTAGACTCGACACCTCCTGAGGTCCCTTCCACCCCTGAGATTCTCGGTGTGGCCGGTGGTAGTGGTGGGTCTCCCCTTCCACCAGCCCAGGGGATGTCACTCTCCCCTCCCCCACTCCCGGGGCTGGATTCATACCCACAGCCAGGCTCAGGGGCAGAACGAAGGGACCCTGGCACCCAGGCAATACCCTCCGGCAGAAGGCCAGGCCAGGCCTGAGATGCCAGGGCTCAGACCCCGAGGGGGAACTGGCCCCAACCCACTCCCACAGGTGCACTCCCAGCCCAGAGATGCCAAGCACAGAATCCGGCCCACGCTGCCCGGCCCAGCGCCCCCCACAGGAGGAGCACAAAGCGCTTGGCAATCCCTCAGCTCCACACCAACCCCCAGGGCAGGAGGGGAGCTATTGACAGATGGGGAAAACGAGGCGCAGGGTATCTTGCCCTAGAGCAAAGACTGGAACCCAGGAGTCCTGACTCCCAGCTGCTCATCAGAGCCCCTCCCGCCAAAGCCAGCACAGGAACCTGGGGTCCCCTGCCAGCCCAGGGCAGGGCTGGGCCCAGGACACCCGTTAGCACTGCCCTGGCCACATGCTCTGGTCTGCCTCCCTGGGCCTGTCCAACGCATTAAGCCGATGCCCGGGGAGCCAGCGGCAGGGCCTTGGGCCTCCATCCCCGCCCTGCCAGGTCACAGCCTCTCTCGCCCAGCCCTGCTGCCAAGGGCACCCAACTCCCAGGTCCTGGGCCAGGCCTATTCTGGGCTGGCTCTGCAGGAGAACCCCAACCTCGGCTCCATTCCCGGGGCGACGGGGCCTCCTTGGAGCCCCAGCAGGAGGGGAAGCAGGCAGGGATGGTGCTGGTCATAGGGGGGTGCAGGGGAGCCTGTCCACCGTCCCCTACTTGGGCCAAAGGGGGCAGGACATCCTGGGGATGGGTGAAAGGAGAGGGGTGCAGGGGAGGGGATGGGACAGCTGCGGGGAGCCTCAAGCCAGTGGATGCCGAAATACAGATGGGGCGACTAGGAGCAGGGAAGGCTCAAACCTCACCTACACCCCGCCAGCCCTGCCTCTCCCCCCCACCCCGGCCCCTCCCAGCACCCCAGACACTGGCTCTCCTGCCCTGCTCAGTGAGTCCTTGGAGACCCTGGTGCCCATGGTAAGTTCCTCGCAGGCAGGAACTCCCCCGCGGCAATGCCATAGGGCACCAGGGCTGTGGGGAGCGGTGCCCGCGGGCACTGTGATGAGAGCATTCAAAACCCCATATATGGGGGGGGGGTCAATCCTAGCCCAGCCAACGCATCTCCACTGGGGGGCAAGCGTGTGACCACCCCCCCACCCCTCTGTCCTTCGCCTCCAGAGGCCCTGGTGAGCAGAGCCTGGTGGCACCGGAGTGAGGGTGCGGGACCGAAGTGCAGGAACCCTTGTCCCACCGAGGCTCTGCCTGGTTCAGCAGGGGCATTTCCAAGGTGGGGGAGCTGTGATCTGTGCTGGCGACCCCTCTGCCAATCACATGGGGCTGCCTGCACCCCAAACGTGGGGCGACTCCCCTCCCCCCAGCATCGGGACAGGCTCCCTAAAGTCCAACCCCACCTCAGGGGCAGGGGGTGGCATCCCCTGCAGGGCTCTGAACCCCAGCCCTGCCCAGCTTGGCAAGGCGCTGAGCTCTGCCAGGCTTGACCCTGCCTTTGCTGCCCCATCACCAAGGCCTCCAGGCTGACGCTGCCCAGGAACGTGGACGCTGGGCACGGCGCACCCCGAGCCACCCCCACCAGCAGCCCCTCCTCGCCGGCGCAGCTCACCAGCCAGGCCACGTGCGAGCGGAAGGAGCCCAAACCCCTGCGGCACAGGGGACAGATGGCAGGGGACGATCCTGCCCCCAGGCTGCAAGTGGGGAAGAATCCAATTCCCCAGCTTGGGCCCCCCCAGCCTCTTCCCCAGCCCACCACCATCTTTGTTCCAGCCGCAGCCACTTGCGTCCTCCTGGAGAAGGAGCCCGAGGATTTAATGGAAACCATCCGCCGGACATGGCAGCACCTGGCTCGGGGGCCAGTCTGCACATGGCCCTTCAAAAGCCAGCTCCGACCTCACAGGGCTTTACCATGGAGGGGTGCCTGGGGATGGACAGAGACAGATGTGTAGCGGCTGATGGACAGACAGAGGGGCGTGCAGGGAGACAGACGGATGGACAGAGGGGGCGTATGGGGACAGCTGGATGGACAGAAGGGGCGTATGGGGACAGACGGATGGATGGATAGAGGGGCGTATACAGGGACAGACAGAGGGGTGCATGGGGGACAGACGGATGGACGGACAGCGGGGTGCATGGGGGACAGACGGACAGCGGGGCGTGAGCGGGGACAGACAGTCGGACAGATGTTCGGTAAAGATCGGATCAATCAGCACCGATCAAGGCAATCGGGATATTTTCTCCCCTCCTCGCCGCGCTGCAAAGCGGCTGCCCTGCGGCCAAAGGCCCCCGTGTGCGCGGGGTGCGGGGGCCCCAGCAGCCGGGCGGGGAGCCGGGGCCCGCAGCAAGGCGCCGTCTCCGGCAGACAATAGCGCCGCAAAGGGAGAGAACAAGGGCGGGGGAGGGCTCCGCCCCGAGCCCCCGCCGAACCGGATCCACCGGCTCCCCCGAGCCCAGCCCCCCGCCAACGGCCCCGGCCCCGGCCCCGGCGCAGGGAGATGCGGGCGCCCCGGGCGCCGAATCCGGGCAGCAAATCCGCGAACCGCGCCCGGCGCGGGGGAAAGGGGGAGCCGCCCGCGGGGGCTCGAGCGGCGGCGAGGCCCGGGGCCGGGGGATGCTTCCAAACCGGCCAGACGCGTCGATCCGGACCTGGCCCCCCCCGCAGGGACCCCCCCGGGACCCCGCAGCCCCCCCCCCGGGACCCCCCCGGGACCCCGCAGCCCCCGCGCTCACCCTGCGGGCTGGGCGGCTCCCCCGCAGACTTGCCCGGCGCGGGCCAGAGGTTGCCCGCGATCAGCAGCAGCAGCAGCGGGAGGCGGCGCCGGGGCGGCATCGTGGGAGCCGGAGCCCGCAGCATCCGCCCGGCGGCCGCTACCCGCCCATGGGCCCGGCCCCGCAGAGAAACGGCCCCGCCGCCGCCCGGCTCTTGGTGGGTGGGGCCCGGCTCCGGATCAGGCTCCGGATCCGCTCCGGCGCGATTGTTCCAGCACCGCGCCGCCCCCTCGCTCCCTGCCCGGCGGGGCCAGCCCGAGAGCCGGGCTCCCTCTGCCGGGGCTCTGCGGCACGGCCGCCCCCCCTCCGGCTCCCCGCCCCCTTCCCCGCCCCCCTCGGCCCCCTCCCCGGCCTCCGGCTGCCCGCCCCCCCAGCCCCCCTCAGCCCCCTCCCCGGCTCCCGCCAGCCCCCCCCCCTCCGCCGGCCCTTTCCCCAGGTCCACCCCCTTCCCCGGCTCCCCCGCTCTGCCAGACCCCTCCCTCCTTCAGTCCTCTCCCCTGCCTCAGCCCCCTTCCCAGCTCCATCCCCTCTACAGCCAGCCAGCTCCAGCTCCAGCTCCCCCCCCGCACCTCCTCCCTCTTCTCCCCAGCTGGGCCCCCGCTTCCGACCGGACCCTGTTTGTGTTTCGGTGCCAGGCGCTGCACAGACGCAGGGAGCGGGGCCCTGCCCCAGGGACCCCAGTCTCAGCAGGCAGGTCAGAAGCGGGTCCCTTCCCAGGGAAAGCCCCTCCTGACGCCTGGCCCTTAGCATCACAGACTATCAGGGCTGGCAGGGACCCCAGGAGGTTCTAGTCCAACCCCCTGCTCAGAGCAGGACCAATCCCCAACTAAATCCTCCCAGCCAGGGCTGGGTCAAGCCTGACCTTAAAAACCTCTAAGGAAGGAGATTCCACCACCTCCCTAGGTAGCCCATTCCAGTGCTTCACCACCCTCCTAGTGAAAAAGTTTTTCCTAATATCCAATCTAAACCTCCCCCACTGCAACGTGAGACCATTACTCCTCGTTCTGTCATCTGCTACCACTGAGAACAGTCTAGATCCATCCTCTCTGGAAACCCCCTTCAGGTAGTTGAAAGCAGCTATCAAATCCCCCCTCATTCTTCTCTTCTGCCGCGCTCCCACTCCCCTCAGTCTTGGGTTTTCCAGATGGTCCCTGGCCTCCCCCCTCTTCCCTCTCACCCCCACCCCCCAGGTCAGGCCCATGGGCAGGGGCTTCTCGCCCTGTGGATGCTCATAGGGGCCTTTGCCATCTGGCACCTTTTGGCCCTGGGTCACCAGCTGAGACAGGTTCTCCCACAGGGGAAATGGGGTTTTCTGTCACCTGGGGGCAGTTCAAACAGCTGGTGAATTGGGCGGCATCGTCCGGCCAGTGTCCCTCTGGGTGCACTGCGCCAAGCTGCTCACAGCTTCCCCGAAGGCAGCCCCTCTGCAAGCTGCGGCTGGGGGGCTGGAGGAGATCGCCTTCGCTGGCACGGGGCTGGGCAGTGGGCTGGGTTATTTCCTCATCTCGCTGTCTGGGGACAGTCCCCCCATCCTGCCAGCCAAGCCCTGCGTAGAGCAGGGACCAGCAGAGGCCCCGCTGCGGGGAGCCCCATGGGCGAGGTGGGGGCCCCTCTGAGCCCTTCTCAGCCATAACGTCCTGGGGAAACACAGCCTAAGTGCGCCAACTTGTGGGCTCTCTTGCTGCTCCCCAAGGCCCTCCCCTGCCTGGGGCGTGGGCGACGCGGGTGAAATTAAACACGAGCATTGGGGTGGGGCTGGGCTGAGCATGGGGCTGGGAGCCAGGACTGCTGCGGTACCCGGGCAAGGCCGCCTCTGGCCTCAGCTGCCCCACCAGCAAAAGGGGGAGGATCATGTTCGTAATGCCTGTCCCCTGTCCCCCCGGCTGCCATGGAAACCAATGAGCTCCAGAAATGTGACTGGCCCAGGCCCCTCAGAGCCAGGGCGAGAACCCAGGAGTCCTGCCGCCTACCCCCGTTCTAACCATGTCACCTACAAACCGCTGCAGCTCTGGGTAAAAGGCACCGCCCCCGCGAGCCCCTTCCCCAAATCCGGCCTGGCCCCTAGCCCAGGGGACACGCACCAGGATGGCCCTGGCCAGGCATGCTGGATGGGGCACATGGGGGTAGTGCTGGGAGTGGCCCACGGGGCAGCAATGCCCTGGCATTGGCCACGGGGGAGCTGGGGACACCCGGGGCTGTAGGGAGAGCTCCTGCGTGGGCAGAACAGGGCCCCGATGGGCCTGTCCACCTCCCAGCGCCAGGAGCCCAGGTTGTCAGCCCGAGCAGGGCCACGGGGCATGTGCTGCTGGTGACTCGTCTGCACCGGAGCTCCTGGCGCTGCCCCTGGCAGAGCAGAGCAGAGCAGCAGTGGGGAAGGGGCTGGCGTCATGGCAACCAGACCATCTTCACCGTCTGCCCCACTGTCTAGCAGAGGGGCCTGGGCTCCCGGCAGCTCAGGGCCCCCATGTTGCTGAGAGCATTACCTGCAGGCAGCGCAGCCAGCTGGGGGGCCAGAGAGGGCAGGACAGGGGGTTAGGCTGTGCCAGGCCCACTCGCTGCTTCTGGGACTGGTGGGAGAGCTGGGTTGGGCTGCGCGTTCCCAACTGGCTGCACAATGCACACACACACAAACCCCCCGCACGCGCACACTCACGCCCCTGTGTGCACAAACCCCTACACACACACACACACTCTCTATACGCATGCACACACCTCTGTGCATGCAGACACCCCTACACACACGTGCGTGCGTACACACCCGCTACACACACATCCCTATACACATGCACACACCTCTGTGCATGCAGACACCCCTACACACACGTGCGTGCGTACACACCCCCTACACACACACACCCCCTATACACACGTGCATGCGTACACACCCCCTACACACATACACACACACGCACATCCCTGCTCATGCACACACCCCTACACACACATATACAGTGTGTGCACACACGTGCCCCTATCCATGCACAACCCCTACACACACTGTGACGAAGCGGGACTGTTCTTAATGTTTCCTCTGAATATTGTGGGGGTGCCTCAGTTTCCCCTAGGCAGTTCTTAAGTATCTAGGTGGTGGGGTAAGGGTGTATGATCGTTGCAGAGCCCTAGAGGGCAGGTGTGTGCAGGGGTCTGGACACAGAGAATGGCCGACACCCTGTTTCCTGGCAACTGATGGCCTGGGCCCTTCTGCCCTGCAAGGTGAGAGCTAAAGGGTTGGAGAACAAAGGAATAAGGTGCCCTCCTGGCCCGGGAAAGGAACAAAGCCCAGAGGAGGATGGGCTGGAGGGAGTTTAAGTTTGGGGCTGGCTGGGGACATGGAGTGAAGTGCAGACAGGGTTGTCGGGCTCACTCCCCCCCAAAATGGACCCGGCTGAGGGGTCCTGTTCTCTGTACCTACAAGTTCTTTGTTAGACCATGTTCCTGTCGTCTAATAAACCTCCTTTTTTTACTGGCTGGCTGAGAGTCACGTCTGACTGCGAAGTTGGGGGTCAGGACCCTCTGGCTTTCCCAGGACCCTGTCCGGGTGGACTCACTGTGGAAAGCGCACGGAGGGGCAGAGGATGCTGAATGCTCCGAGGTCAGACCCAGGAAGGGGGAAGCTGTGTGAGCTGCGTGTCCTGCAGACAGGCTGCTCACAGAAAGGAGACTTCCCCAGAGTCCTGACTGGCTTCATGGGGAGCAGTTCCAGAGCATCGCCCGGGGACTCCGTGCCAACTGGTGTTAGAGGTGGGATGTACTGCACTTCCTGCAGTAAGTGATGGGGGAGCAGTAAAACGAAGGGGGATTGATGAGGACCAGGCGTGCTGAAGGCCCAGAGAGGAGAGGTTTCGGGGGGCAGTTAACCCCTGGGAGTGTGTGACCAGCGAGAAGGACTGTGCAGTAATGGGGTCCCCCTGGGGACTGCAGTGAGCAGTCTCAGAGGCGGAGGAGCCTGCGGCTTGGCCCTGGGAGAGAGAAGGATTTTTGCAGTAACAGGGTCCCCCGGGGGATTGCAGCGAGCGGTCCCAGGCGTGGAGGAGTCTGCAGCTCGACCCTGGCAAAGAGGTGGTGACCTCGAGAAGGGCTGGCACACTAGGGGTTCTCCCTGGAAACCGTGGGGAGCTGACAGCACACAGGCCTGTGAGTCCACAACAACTTGGGAAGAGCGGAGTGATGGCCTGTCACCATCTCCTTAAGAAAGACATTGTAGCCCTGTGCAGAAAGAGAGGGTTGAGCGTTGGAAAGTTCACCAAAGCACAGTTCATCGTGCAGCTGGAGGAGGATGACCGCTCTAAGGAACAGATTCCTGACCCAAATGGGGCTATGGCAGGATCTGGGAGCAGCTGGAGTGGGAGCCAGGCACCCCAAGACTCCTGTCCCCGACCAGACGGGGGTCTTCATGATCGGGTTCCCCAGCGGGGGAACGGAGATGGACGGGATTGGAGCTGAGTCCGAGAGAGCAAGAGGACTGTGGGAGACAGCGAGAGCCGGAGAAAGAGCTGCAGAAGCAGCAGCAGCATGAACTGGCGGTGGGGGAGCGGAGAGGCCTAGGGGACCTCCCAGGGGTGAGTGGGGATAGATCCCGGGGGGCCAGTTCCGCAGGGAACCTCGAGACTAAATTGCTGCCCCTGGTTAAGGAGGGGGGGGGATGTGGATGCCCACCTCACTGCCTTTGAGCAGGCTGGCGATTTGAACCAGGGGGACCCTGCGGAAAAGCCCCGGTGTCTAGCTCCCTTGCTGGGTCCCAAGGCCACAGACTCGGTCAGCCAGATGGGTGGGGAGGTGGACAGGCTCCCACTCCTGGTCCCAGCCTATATGTCTGTGTGGAGTTTCCTGGGGCCAGGCCCCTCGGACCCGCAGTGGGAGCGGAAGGTGATGGTCAATGGGGAGACATTCCTGGGGCGGCGAGATCCTGGGACAGAGAGAACTGTTGTCAGGCCCTGGGTGGTGCAGGCTTAGAGGCTGAGGGGCTGTGTGAGCTGGGTGAGGGTCCCAGGGACGAAGCCCCTCGCTCTTCCTATGGCCCAGATCCCTGTGCAAACCCAGGAGGGGTCGGGCTGGCTGGCTGTTGGGGTGCTCCAGGACACCAGCTGCGAGACCCTGTTGTGGGGTGACTGTGTCTCTTTGGGACAGGATCCAGGCCCTGCTCCTGTAACGGCCAAGGGTTTGAATTTGAATCCAGGGAACAAAACGGCAGAGAGGGAAATGGTCAGTGAAAATGCAGATGACCTGGCTGGCAGGGGGGAGGAGCTGCTAGGCTCAGGGTACCTGCCTTCCTGTAACCAGA